TCTCTTATTTAGGTTCACTAGTTCAGTTCAGTCCTGCTGCGGGGAGGGCGGGGCGCTGCAGACAGATACCGCTCTGTGTGGATAGCACTCACCGTGTTCGGTCACACTGGGTTTGCCCCGCTCACGGGTGTCAGTGCTTTCGCCGTCTACACTGCTCAGGCTCCCGGCTGCTCTATATGGAGCGGGCCCTGCGTTGAGTGCGGTTCCAGTTTTCGGGTACTCCACAAAAGCACGGATCCGGTTGCGCCTGCGTTTTGTGCCTTCCCCGGCCTGAGCGGCCCAGGCAGCCAGAGGCTTGGGCGCACTCTCCCCGGGTGCAGCACGCCTTTTCCCTCCGCGTCGAGCGGCCCAGGCAGCCAGAGGCTTGGGCGCACTCTCCCCGGGTACGGCGCGCCTTTTCCCTCCGCGGCGAGTGGCTCAGGCAGCCAGAGGCTTGGGCGCACTCTCCCCGGATGCAGCGCGCCTTTTCCCACCGCGTCGAGCGGCCCAGGCAGCCAGAGGCTTGGGCGCACTCTCCCCGGATGCAGCGCGCCTTTTCCCTCCGCGTCGAGCGGCCCAGGCAGCCAGAGGCTTGGGCGCACTCTCCCCGGGTGCGGCGCGCCTTTTCCCTCCGCGTCGAGCGGCCCAGGCAGCCAGAGGCTTGGGCGCACTCTCCCCGGGTACGGCGCGCTTTTTCCCTCCGCGGCCCCAGCGCGCGCCGCCAGTCGGGTCTCAAGAAGTCTTTAGACAGGAACCGGGGGCCTGTTTGCAGTGTGGGAGGGGGTGGCTTCTCAGGGGCTGAGTTTGCCCTTTTCCCCTACCCCCTGCCTCCAACCTCCAGCGGGGATGGGCCGGCTCTTCTCTGGACTTTCTCAGTCCCTTTGTTTTGCGAACTGCAGGCAGTGTGTTCGGGCCTGTTAATTTTGACCCTTGCTATCCCACAGTTTAAAAAAGCTCCCTCCGATTGCTCTCAGGGTCTTCGGGCAGGTCCTTACCCTAAGCAATGCCGCCCGCTCCTCTCCGTCCCGCCCCCGCTTGTTGCTGGCGGGTACGGGCGTCTGGGGTACTTTTCTGCTGGGAGTTGCTTTTAGGCACGTAATCTGTGGGCCTTGTTTAATTTTTCCTCCCAGTTAGATTGCCGAAAACTTCCCCCAGTCCCGCCAGTGCGAGGGTTTCCTGGTGATTGGGAACTTCCTCTATTAAGACTCCCTTCCCGGGACGGGTCTCCGTCCGTAGCTCTTTTGTCTCCCTTTTCATCTTTTATATTTTGTCCTACCTCCCTTCGAAGACAATGGGCTGCTTTTCTGGGCGCCTGATGTCCTCTGCTAGCGATCAGAAGTTGTTTTGTGCAGTCTGCTCAGCATTCAAATGTTCTTTCGATGAATTTGTAGGGGAGAAAGTGGTCTCCCCGTCCTATTCCTCTGCCATCTTGGCTCCTTGCAGTCCTTCCCCTCTTAGAGTCTATGAGGTTCTCTCTGCCTGAACTCTTCTCCCTTCTACTGAAACACTTTTTATCTCTGTGGTTTCCCTGGGCTGGGTTAGACACCTGTTATGTGTTCTTATAGAACACCATTTTCTTCCTCTGACTTACATGTTTATAAGAAATATAAGCATTTTAAAAAAAATATTGCCTCCCTGCTAGAATGTAAGCGCCACAAGATCAGGGATCCTCCTGCTTCACCTGTGTCCCCAATGCCTGGTACTGGTAGTTGCCCAGACATGTGGCAAATGAATGAAAAGTTCGTATTTTAATTGCATTTAAAATGAAGTGACTGATTATTTGATCTGATACTACTATGAAATGCTTTCCTAATAAAGTTGATATTTCAAACATTTGTGCATGATGTTCAGTTTAGGCTGCATTGTGTATCTGAAGTCCCTTTAGTTCTTTGAGATGTGTACAGACAGAAGATCACAACTCAGAGGTAAGTTGGATTTCCAGGTGAATGTTTGAGGAGGTCTTGTGGAGGAGGAGACTGCCAGTTGACCCCTGACCTCGAACGGGGCAATCATCGGCTCCTCCCCGCTCCCCCGACCGCCCACCATTCCGATAGTTGACCAAAAGCAGCGTGGAGAAAGTAAGGTGTTGCCGAGACCATCTGGCCCAAATACATGAACTGAACTCAGATCAGGACTCTATACAATAACTTCTAAGATACTGGCGAGCGGTGGGAGGTTCTCCCGTCCGGCCTCCACGCGGGTCTGTGAGTTTCCTGCCTTAATGAACCCGCCTCTTCCCAGTCTGGAGTGGCTGCCTCTCGCTCCTTGCCCTCTGTGTGTGGCGGCTGGTTTGCCAACCAGCAAAGGAACACAGTGAGTGTTTTTAAATAGTAAATTATATTAAATTTTCAGTTGAAATTTACATCCATATCAGAAAAAAAATGATTTTTTTTTTTAACCAAGACTAGTTGGCATTTCATTGGTAGGAACCATCAACAGGGCAAAGAAAGATTCATGCTATTTTACAAGTGTTTTTACCTTTCTTTAGGAAGATCATGGTTACCAACTAACACCACACTTAAAATATTTTGTTCATTTTATCAGATAAAAAGCATTTATAATGCTTTCCCAAAACAGGCAGCAGGTTTTGCCTGCCCTTTGGGCTTTATTTAGGCATAATTGACATATATTATGTAAGTGTAAAGTATACAATGTGATGATTTGATGCACTTGCATATTGTGAAATGATTACCACAATGTGGTTACTTAGCACATCTATCAACATACATAAAGACTACTTTTTCTGTAATGAGAATTTAAACATTTTGGTTATTAAAATATGAATTTCAGCTAGGATAATATGAATATCTTAGAATTTTGAGTATTTCTTAGAATTTTAAGAAATATACAGTTCTCAAGTAGGCTTCCTGGGCACTTACAGAATGAAAAAGAGACAAAATTACTTCTCTTTTTCAGTTTTCAAGGGAAATGTTTCAAAGTGACGATTTGTCATGCTAGTGGAAGGCATTGGTGAATGTGCAAGTGAAAAATTGATCATTTATCAAAAGTGAATGACTGCATGCAAGGCATGACTAGAGAAAGGGTGTATATTACCTTTACAGGGGCAAGAACAGGTTTTTGAATGATATCATTAGTAAGACTTTTAGGATGGTGGGGGAGGATCATATAGTTCTTGTTAGTTGTAAATTGTATTGATGACAGCGTTCTGGAAGGATGATTGTTGTTGAGTGCTCTGGCCAAAGCTGGATCTTTTAATGATTGGCTCTGAAATTTAGTATTTAGATATTTAGAAATGAAAGAAATGAACTAGATACTTATGGTCTCCTGTCATTTATAACATTTCTCTGTAAACAGCACAATTAAATACAACTAATATTTAATGATGACACTGGTTTTCATCATTTTCACACAATGCTAAAATAACTATTTACTGTGCCGTGAATTCTCTTGTATCTGGAGTCAGGATGCTAAGGATTAAGTTCTTGGAGCTAAATGAATTATCTGCCTGCCTTTGACCTTTGTAGGCAAGCGTGCATTCCAGGTGAGGAGGGTTATAATCAAGGTGACTGTATAATTGACCAGCCACTCTGAGCCCTATTTCCATGAGAAACAGGTGTGAGCCAGAACTGACCAGGCTGACTCCGGCATGTGGTTGCTCTCTCTGTAATTCACTGTGCTGATATTACACGTCAGGTGTTGATAATCCTTGCAAACCAGTATTCCAGATAGCTGCTTTGTAGTGGCTTGAAAAACACAGAATTATTCTCTTGCAGTTCTAGAGGTCAGAAGTCTAATCAAAATGGCAGGGCTGTATTCCTTCTGAGGCTTTGAGGGGAAATCCAATTCCTTGCTGATTTCAGCTTCTAAAGGCCGTATGCCTAATGTGTAAATTTTAATGTAGATTTCCGTATGATATCAAACACATGACATGTGTTCTAGAGAGCTATGTAATTGACTCAGGAAGGAAATTTACCATAGGGCAAGGGCAATTTGGTTTTCTGTGGCTGCCAGCATTTCAGCATGTCTGGAAGCTTTTTCTTTCACAAAGGTGACCCACATCACAGGTTTGAGCTGCTCCTTGAGTTAAGGGAGAGAAGTGTCTGAGGGAGAACAAGGTCTTAGAAGGTGGAGATTTAGTGGAGAACTTAATGAAGAGAAAATGTGACCAGAACTACTTGCCAGAAGTACACTGGAGAAAATGAATTTTTTAAAATGTGTTATTGAGTAGATATTAACTGTAAGATGTGAACAAGTAGAATTTTGGAGAACTTGGACCAATATAGAGATTTCTATAGAAGATAACATTTTCAACCATATCTCTATTCATCATATTCCTATAGCTATATGATAATTAAAAATAACTTTTCTTGTAAAATGATTTATAAAAACCCAACAATGTTGTTTGTAGAAAACTGAGAGACAAATGAAGAAAATAAGTGAAAGTTCTCTGGAATTTCACCACCCAGAGATCACTGCTATTAATAATTTCCTGTATACTATTGTCTTTTTTTCTATCTGTGGGAATTTTTTTCACAGAAAAACTTATTCTGTAATCTGCATTTTCACTTAATGTAATGTGACTTTGTTGCCATGTTTTTATGTCATTTAGTATCTCCTCTACAATAATCTGTTGCCTGATACTGCTTTGTATAGATGCCCTGTTTGATTTAACCACTGCTGTATTGTTGGGCACTTAGGTTGCTTCTGGTTTCCCTCTATTATAGATAATGCTGCAACAAGTATCTTGTAGTTTCTTTATATGACTATGATTATTAGTACAAATTCCTAGTAGTGGAATTGTTAGATCAAGGTATATGTTAGATCAAGCTTTTTAAGGCACGTTACTAAACTGTGCTCTATAAATGTACATTTATTGCTGGGTCTAATGATGATGCTGGGACTTTCAGATGCTGAAATAGCTTCCAGTAGAATCAAATGGTTTACAAAACGAGTGTTTTCTTTAATTCTTAAAAGTTGTGTGTAGGTGACAGTGTCACATCAGTAACAAGTTGTGAAGACAGCATAAATGCATGGGAGGTGTCATGGTTGTGGAAAGAACACTAGGCTGAAAAGGACTGGGAGAAGACCAGCTCGGTCCTAGCTCTGCTACTGAAAAATTGTGGGAACTTGGGGAAGATAACAGGGGACCAAAACCAGCCTCTCTGGCCTAGCACTAGTTGTTTTCCTTCCTTTTGAAGAGGCCCGTTTTCTTTCTTCCTCCCCAGGTGCCCCCTATCTCTGCCAGTTCTAGGGCAAGTGGGCCGAGGAGGCAGGGCCTGGGAGGGAAGGTCTGGGAAGGTGCGGGAGGAGCTGGAGGTACTGAGCAGGTGGAAAGACCAAGGATGGGGCCTTGCTGTACTCATTTTTGCTAGAAATTTTTGCCAGAAACTCCAGGCTACATTCCCTGGGGTTGCAAAGAGTTGAGTAGGACTGAGTGAGTAACACCACTTTCACTTCACCAACAGACAAAGTAACTTCTTAGGTAGGCTTAAGTGTACTTTTGGTAGCCTGAAGATCAAAGTGCTGGTCTTATATGAATGGTTAATGGATTTTCCACAATCCATTTTGAAATGTAAACACTTTTCATTTATTATATGCTTGTTTGCAAGTATGTGTAAGTTTCCTGGTTTTATTTTGGAGCACTCGTGGCAAAGAACTCGCCTGTGAATGCAGGAGTTGTAGGGTTTGATCCTTTGGTCAATCCCTGAGTCAGGAAGATCCCCCGGAGGAGGAAATGGTAACCCGTTCCAGTATTCTTGCCTGGAGAATCCCATGGACAGAGGAGCCTGGCAGGCTTCAGTCCATAGGGTTGCAAAGACTGGGACATGACTGAAGCAATTTAGCATGCACGCACGCACTCACTGGTATTTTAATTTTATTTTTTCCCTACTTTGTGTTGATTTTAATGTGGCCTAACCTTCTTTTTCCATCATGAGGGATATAGGAACAGTAACCAGAAGATCAGTTTCCTAGAACTGAGCCCTGTGAAGTACAATGAAGTCTTCCCACTGAGTCACAAATTAAATCTATACCAGACTGGATCTAGCATCCTGAGTAGAAGAACCTGAATTGGCTGCTAGACAGAGAGCTCAATTTGGAATCAAAAGATTTGTGTTCTTTTCCAGCTGGCAGTACTAACTGGCAGTCTGATCTTGGATTAGTTTTTCCTTATCTCTTACTATAGGGGTGGGACTAAATGAGTGGTTTTCCATCCCAGTTTCATACTGAAATCAGTTGAGGTTCAAAAAAAAACAAAGAACCCTTGTATCAGAATCTTTGAGGTGTGATGGATATTGTTTAAAACTCCCGGTAACTGCTCTTGAACAATGGTTCTCAAATTCAGCTGATAGCTGAATGGCCTTGAGGACCTCTTAAAACGTAGGTAGCTGGGCTCCACCTTAGATTTTTATTTCACAGGTCTGGAGTGGGCCCTGTAATATGCATTTTCTAACACATTTCCTGCGGATGCAGATGTTGCTGGTTTGGGTATCCCATTTGGAGACCCACTCACCACCTAGACTGTCTTGAGTGCATGCACGCTCAGTCGTGTCCGATTCCTTGTGACCCTATGGACTGTAGCCTGCCAAGCTCCTCTGTCCATGGGATTCTCCAGGCAAGAACACTGGCGTGTGTTGCCTTTACCTACTCCAAGGCTATCTTGAAGTTCCTTCTAAAATTTTAGGATTCTTATATCAATTTCTGCTTTGATGATATGATCACCCTCATAGGTTTTTAGTTAGATACATTTCTCTCCATCTCTCATTTTCAAGATACCGGGAATTTGTCTTACCTTCTAAGCCAGTGGCTAAATATAATCACCTAAGGAGCTCAGGTTATAAAAATTCTGATGCCCAGGCTGGACTCCAGATAACTAAATCTTTCAGGTTCGGATGCAGGTATCAGCAATTTGTAGAACTCCCTCAAATGATTCCAGTCTGTGACCCAGGCTGAGAGTCACTTCACAGGGCTAGATCAAGAGATTTCAAAAGGAGCCACTGTTCATCTCAAACACTTCCATAAACTTAAAATCTGAAATTTCAGATTGTATATACATTTTTTGTTAGGTACTTACTCACAACCTAGAGAAAAACTTGCCTTATTTTGACTTCTATGTGTACCTCATTTCAGGCTATTTGCTGTGTTTCAGTTCAGTTCAGTTGCTCAGTTGTGTCCGACTCTTTATGACCCCGTGGACTACAGCATGCCAGGCTTCCCTGTCCATCACCAAGTCCCAGGGCTCAATCAAACTCATGTCCATTGAGTCGGTGATGTGATCCAACCATCTCATCCTCTGTTGTCCCCTTCTCCTCCCATCCTTAATCATTCCCAGCATCAGGGTCTTTTCAAATGATTCAGTTCTTCATATCAGGTGACCAAAGTATTGGAGTTTCAGCTTCAGCATCAGTCCTTCCAATGAACACCCAGGACTGATCTCCTTTAGGACTGACTGGTTGGATCTCCTTGCTGTCCAAGGGACTCTCAAGAGTCCTCTCCAACATCACAGTTCAAAAGCATCAATTCTTTGGTGCTCAGCTTCCTTTATAGTCCAACTCTCAGATCCATACATGACTACTGGAAAAACCAAAGCTTTGACTAGATGGACCTTTGTTGCAAAGTAATATCTCTGCTTTTTAATATGCTGTCTAGGTTGGTCATAACTTTTCTTCCAAGGAGCAAGCCTCTTTTAATTTCATGGCTGCAGTCACCATCTGCAGTGATTTTGGAGCCCCCCAAAATAAAGTCTGTCACTGTTTCTACTGTTTCCCCATCTATTTGCCAGGAAGTGACGGGACCAAATGCCATGATCTTAGTTTTCTGAATGTTGAGTTTTAAGCCAATTTTTTCACTCTCCTCTTTGACTTTCATCATGACGCTCTTTAGTTTTTCTTCACTTTCTGCCATAAGGGTGGTGTCATCTGCATATCTGAGATTATTGATATTTCTCCTGGCAATCTTGATTTCAGCTTGTTCTTCATCCAGTTCAGCATTTCTCATGATGTACTCTGCATAGAATTTAAATAAGCAGGGTGACAATATACAGCCTTGACGTACTCCTTTTCCTATTTGGAACCAGTCTGTTGTTCCTTGTCCAGTTCTAACTGTTGCTTCTTGGCCTGCATACAGGTTTCTCAAGAGGCAGGTCAGGTGGTCTGGTATTCCCATCTCTTTCAGAATTTTCCACAGTTTATTGTGATCCACACAGTCAAAGGCTTTGGCATAGTCAATAAAGCAGAAGTAGATGTTTTTCTGGAACTCTCACTTTTTCCATGATCCAACGGATGTTGGCAGTTAGATCTCTGGTTCCTCTGCCTTTTCTAAATCCAGCTTGAACTTCTGGAATTTCATGGTTCATGAACTGTTGAAGCCTGGCTTGAAGAATTTTGAGCACTACTTTGCTAGTGTGTGAGATGAGTGCAATTGTGTGCTAGTTTGGGCATTTTTTGGCATTGCTTTTCTTTGGGATTGGAATGAAAACTGACCTTTTCCAGTCCTGTGGCCGCTGTAAGTTTTCCAAATTTGCTGGCATATTGAGTGCAGCACTTTCACAGCATCATCTTTTATGATTTGAACTAGCTCAACTGGAATTCCATTACCTCCACCAGCTTTGTTCGTAATTATGCTTCCTATGGCCCACTTGACTTCTATATGTACCTCATTTCAGGCTATTTGCTGAAAGTGTTTATCAGTAGCTAAAAGTTGCTAATGAGATTTATTTAAGGTGATGGAAAGAAGTGGAATCAGAACAAAAGTAAAAACAGAAGTATTCTACATCATGGGCCAATCACAGCAGCTGAAAAGTATTTTCTGATTTGGTTCTTTATGCCTTAGTGCCTTTGCTGTAACTTCTCAGTGAATTGTTTTCTGAGTTGGTTCTTTATGCCTTAGTGCCTTTGTTGTAACTTCTCAGTAAATTAAACAGAAGGTTTAAGTCTCTCAGGACTTTTGTCAGTTCCTCACTCCCAACCAACCGTAACTAGAAAAAAAGTGAAATGTTCATCAACATCAGTGGTTGATAACTTGAGGTACATTTAAAACATTTTTCATTGCAGCAAGATATACATCAAAATTTTCCATTTTCATGATTCTTAGGTGTGGAATTAGTTTATTCACATTGTTGTGCCACCACCACCACCACTGTGCATTTCCAGAACTATTTCATCACCCCAAATTGAGGCTGTGTTCATTAAAAAATAATCGCCATTCTTCCCTTTCCCCCAGGCCCTTCTGTTTTCTGTCTCCGTGAACTTGCCTGTTTTAGGTATCTTATGTAAGTGGAGTCACAAAGTATCTGTTCTTTTGTGTCTGGCTTATTTCACTTAGCATAATGTCTTCAAGGTTATCCGGAGATTATTTTTAATCAATTCTGTCTGTGTCACAATTGAGTTAGGTCCATAAAGTCATCAGCCTCATTTCAATTAAACACACGCACAGGTGATAGAGAACATTTCTGTTTCCCTGGAGCCTTTAGGAAATCATGTGGGATGGGCAGCAGTAGGATGTGGGTTGGTCTTGGGCCAGGCACCAGCCTCTTCCTAGTTGCTCAGTTTAGACGCATGGGTGTCATTGTGATTCCTCCCTTTTCCTTACCCTGACATTCTTATTCTTGTCCAGTAAATATTATTGATTATACCTCTCCATAGCTCCCTAAATCTTCCTTGTTTATCACTGAACCAATCTCAATTCAGACCATCCATTCGTACTTAGATCAGTACAAGAGCCTCCTAACCAGTCTCCCTGGTTATCACTGCTATCAGTCATTAGATCATTAATTCATTCAACAAATATAGCGCATGAACATTTCTTGTCAGGCGTTGAGCCGGCCGAAGTTACAGAGACTTGTGCTGAACTATTTGAGTCATTTGTCTCAATAAAATAAATCTGATTATACCCAAGCATGTCTGATACTAGAGTCCAACTCTTCACAGTCCATTCATTGCCATCCAATAAAGATGGACTAAAGATTTAGGACTCCTGGCAGGTGAAATTAAGGGGTTAAAACAAAAAGAGGAAATCTAAGAGTTAAAAAGTACATAGCCCTACATCTAATTCTAAAAGAGAATAAAAAGCTTATGTGTAGAACTGGGGAAATCTGACCTTGTAGCAGTTCATAGGGGGGAAAAAAGCCCAGAGGTTTTGGTTATCAACAGGTTTGCTGCTGCTGCTAAGTCGCTTCAGTCATGTCCGACTCTGTGCAACCCCATAGACGGCAGCCCACCAGGCTCCCCCATCCCTGGGATTCTCCAGGCAAGAACACTGGAGTGGTTTGCCATTTCCTTCTCCAGTGCATGAAAGTAAAAAGTGAAAGTGAAGTCGCTCAGTCGTGTCTGACTCTTAGCGACCCCATGGACTGCAGCCCACCAGGCTCCTCCATCCATGGGGTTTCCCAGGCAAGAGTACTGGAGTGGGGTGCCATTGTCTTCTCCATCAACAGGTTTGGTAAGGGTTAATAGTGTGATGAGACCCCTTACAAGTGCTAGTCACACTTTAGGCTGGTCACACTAGGCTGCTCTCATTATGGGCATAATAATGCCTATATTTAAGACAAATCATTGTCTTCAGCTCTGTAAGCTGTATTCTAAGGAGAGTATTATCAATAAGATACTGGAGGGCATGCAAGGCAGTGGTTGGCTGAACTTGGGGAGTATGTAAAAAGCACAGATGCCTAGGATCTACCTCTGGGTATTTTCAGGTGATTCAATACACATATCAGATCAGGGACCACTGATATGAAGGAAATGAACAGCGTGACCTGGAAAATATTGAAGGCACTTAGAAAGGGAGGACTGTGGCAGGATGTAATATGTATTTCTAAAATTTGAAGAGTTGCCGTTTGTAAGTTGAAATG